TCATATTAAGCTTTTGCAACGATTTAATTTACTCAAATTTTTTACTTTTTCTATATTTTAATGTATGTTTTTATATACTACGCCTTTAGTTCAGTTGGTAGAACGCAGGTTTCCAAAACCTGATGTCGAGGGTTCAAGTCCTTCAAGGCGTGTAATATTAGAATAATATCTAAAAATGAATATCAAAAAATCAAAATAAAGAACTAATAAATAAATTTTTTAATTAATAAATATATCTTAATTCTATTCAATACAACTACTAATTAAGAATAAATATTCATCAACTATTCATCTTACTTCAGACAAGTAAGTATAAAGCTTTTAATATATATTGTTTTATATACTAAGCCTTTTGTACTGGCAGTAATAAAGCCACTGAAGTAAGTGATAAATTATAGCCTATAGAAGATGTTTGAAGTACTTTAAGAGAATATTAACAAACTTAGTATAAATGTACAATAATTTATAATTTTTCTATAAGCATCAGAATTGTATATATGTGCATATTATACATTAAGCAAAAAGAGAAAAACTATTTGTTGAACTACAATCAAATAATTTATAAAACACAAATAATAATATTATATCTTGTATATTATAAAATAGTACCATTAATTTTACATTAATAACTCTGATGCTCTATAATAGACCAGTAGAATGAATAATTAAGAAATAGAAAATATTTTATGGCTAAAAAAATTATAGGGCTTGTTAAATTAGCTTTGAACGCAGGCAAAGCTACTCCAGCTCCGCCAGTAGGCCCAGCATTAGGGCAATACGGAGCTAATATTGTACTGTTTTGTAAAGAATATAACGCAAGAACATTAGACAAACTTGGCTTGGTAATACCCGTTGAAATTTCAATATATGAAGATCGTAGTTTTTCATTTATTTTAAAGACTCCACCAGCAGCTGTACTACTGAAAAAAGCTGCCAAAGTACAAAATGGATCAGGGCAGCCAAACACTGAAAAAATTGGATCAATTTCTACAGCACAATTGCAAGAAATAGCTGAAACTAAATTGCAAGATCTAAACACTCAAGATATCAAAAAAGCTATGAAAATTGTGAAAGGCACCGCAAAGAATATGGGTATCCAAATTAGTGACTAATATTAATTGAATTTAACATGATAAAACATTCACGCCGCTTTAATTTACTTTTAAAACAAATAGATAAAAGTAAGCTGTACGCACCTTTAGAAGCTTTGTATTTAATGAAAGATTTATCTAATATAAATTTTGTAGAAACAGCAGAAGTACATATTGCATTAGGATTAGACCCTAAATACGCAGATCAACAGTTAAAGGCAACTGTGATGCTACCTAGGGGAACAGGTAAAACAATTCGGGTAGCTGTTATTACTACACACAATCAAATTCAACAAGCAGAATCAGGTGGAGCAGATATAATAGGAGGAGAAAATCTAATTAATGAAATCAAAAAGGGGCGTTTAGACTTCGATAAACTGATAGCTACTCCAGATGTTATGATATCAATTGCTAAACTAGGTAAAATTTTAGGCCCTAAAGGACTAATGCCTTCACCTAAAGCTGGCACAGTAACAAATGATTTAGTAAAGACAATTCAAGAATTCAAAGCAGGAAAATTAGAATATAAAATCGACCGTAGTGGAATATTACATATTCCATTTGGTAAGCTTAATTTTACTCCAGAAGACTTATATAGTAATTTAATTGCTTTACAAAAATCTATAGACAAAAACCGACCTCAAGGTTCGAAGGGTAAATACTGGAAGTCTATCTATATTACCAGTACTATGGGACCTGCAATACCTTTAGATATTAATCTTTTACGTGAAAGCTATTTGTGATAAAATAAGTAGTCAAAACCTTAACTTTATTTATATGTAAAATAAACGATTTATATAATGAGTACAAAAATTAATAACATTATTAATGATCTAAAATCATTAACACTATTAGAGGCTGCAGAATTAGTAAAACAGATAGAAGAAACATTTAATATTGATGCATCAATTGCATCTCAAAACCCGGCAATAGTTATGCCCACAGCAGTGGATAGTTCTACTAAAAATGAAACAGAAGAGAAAACAGAGTTTAATATTGTATTAGAAGAGGTACCACCAGCTAAAAAAATTGCTATCTTGAAAGTTGTTAGATCAATAACTGGTTTAGGTTTAAAAGAAGCAAAAGAATTAGTAGAATCAGCACCTAAAATAATCAAAGAAAATACAACAAAAGAGAACTCTGAAGAATTGAAAAAACAACTCGAAGAAGCTGGAGCTAAAGTGTCCATTAAATAAATACATTGAATCATAACAAAATTGTTATGATTCAATGTATTAAAAATATTTAAAATATTCCTAAAGTAATTGCCTTAGATAATGGCATAGTCGCACCAATACCTAACCAAACTGCAACAAAAGTTCCAATTAGAAATACTGTAGTAGCAACGGGGCGTCTAAAAGGGTTCTGAAACTTATTGACACTTTCAATAAATGGAACAGTAATTAGACCTAAAGGTACAGATGCCATAGATAAAACCCCTATCAACTTATTAGGTATAACTCTTAATAAATTAAAAGTAGGGAAAAAGTACCATTCTGGTAATATTTCTAAAGGTGTAGCAAAAGGATTTGCTGGCTCTCCTACAGCACAGGGCTCTAAAACTGATAAACCAACATCACAAGCTAATATACCTAAAATAACAACAGGAAACATATATAATATATCGTTTGGCCAAGCTGGCTCTCCATAGTAATGATGTCCCATACCTTTAGCTAATTTAGCACGCAACTTTGGATCAGTTAAATCAGGCTTTTTTATAATTGACATAAAGAAATTCCTTAATAATAAAATTTAAACATTTTGATAAATAGAACTATAACTATAGAGGCCCTGAAATTCCTTGTTTACGAATCATTAAAAAATGCATTAACATAAATACTGCAGTTAAAAGAGGTAAAACGAAAGTATGTAAACTATAAAATCTTGTAAGTGTACTTTGCCCTACACTGACTCCACCTCTTAATAATTCAACTATGCTTGTTCCAACTATCGGTATAGCTTCAGGAACACCAGTTACAATCTTAACAGCCCAGTATCCTATCTGATCCCATGGTAAAGAATAACCAGTTACGCCAAAAGAAACTGTTAGCACAGCTAATACAACACCTGTTACCCAAGTTAATTCACGTGGTTTTTTAAAACCACCAGTTAAATATACTCGAAACATATGCAGTATTAACATAAGTACCATCATACTAGCAGACCATCTATGAATTGATCTTATTAACCAACCGAAATTAACATCTGTCATAATATATTCAACAGAAGAAAAAGCTTCAGCTACAGTTGGTCTATAATAAAAAGTCATAGCAAAACCACTTGCAACTTGAATTAAGAAAGATGTAAATACTATACCACCAATGCAATAAAAAATATTTACATGAGGTGGAACATATTTACTAGTTATATCGTCTGCAATTGCTTGAATTTCCAATCTTTCTTCAAACCAATCATAAACCTTTCCCATATTAATTGTTTAGTAAAATATAAAAACTATGCATTTAAACTACAATTCACTCAAATTTATTATTAAGTCTTAAATCAATTATAATTATAACATTTATTATTTTCTTTTTTGTATATTAAGTAATTTTATTATTACGTAGATAGCTAAAAAAAGAAAAATAACATATTATAATTTTGTTTTTTACAATATACTTGATAAAGAATTGTTGAATTAAAAAATTCATAATTTTATTGACGGTAATTGGATTACTTCCTGTAATATAGCTAATAGTTTTTTGGGATAACTCAAAGGGAATAAGAATGTAATCATTGTTTAATACCCCAAAATCCTTACACAATAATAATAACAATTGAATCACTCTGTATCTAATAGACTTATGTATTAATATGTATGATGAACTTTCATATTGTCTCAAAGTATAACGAAATAAGTCGAGCAATTTAATTGAAGTTGATAAATACTGACAATGAGTAATATAATCTAACCAAAAAAATTTAATAAAGTAAGTATTTTCTAAAGCAACTACTTTATAATAAAAATAATTAACATCAAAAAAATTAAAATTTAAATCAATTATACTTTTATTGGTTAATATAGCTAAAAAAATAGACTCACTATTTGTAAAAATTTTCATAACGTACACAGTACCATAAAAAACTATAATTAACGGTTTAGATTTTATTTGATATTTAAATATCAATGAATCTCCTTTATTCAATTTGTAAATATAAAAAGGAATTTCTGATTCAAAAAATAATCGCTTCCATTTATTACCCATAATTCTGACTTGTATTTTATATTAAAAATAAGCTTTTGATAATATTCTCATTTTGATATAATCTGATAATGAAAAAAACAATACTTCTTATAGATGATGATGTAGATTTATTAAATTCAATGGCTTCTTATTTAATCTCTGAAGGCTTCACAATACACATTACAACGAATGGGTATAATGCACTAGAAAATTTAGCAATTATCCAACCTAATTTAATCATTACTGATATTATGATGACACATATAGATGGTTATGAGGTGATCAAAAAAATACGCTCTAAAAAAAATTGGCATCAAATACCTATAATTTTCTTGACAGCTAAAGGTATGACACAAGACCGTATTTTAGGATATAACTTAGGATGCAATGCATACCTTGCTAAGCCATTTTATCCAGAAGAATTAATAGCTATAATAAATAATATATTTAAACAACTTGAATTTTATAAACCACATATTAACGACAGTGTCCAAAAACTTCAAAATGAAGAACAAAATTCTATTTTTAATTCTTTGACACCAAAAGAATATGCAGTTCTTGTATTAGTAGCAAAAGGCTATACAAATAAAGAAATTGCTAACAAAGTCAACTCAAGCATAAGAAATATAGAAAAATATGTAAGCCGCTTATTGCATAAAACTAAAACTAGAAATCGTACAGAACTAGCAAAATTAACTTTATTAAATTATTTAAACAAACCACAGGGCGAATGACGGGACTCGAACCCGCGAATAGTGAAGCCACAATCCACTGCCTTAACCTCTTGGCTACATCCGCCAAAATTCAAAAATATAATAATGAAGTATAATACTTTTTAAGTAATAAGTCTATATTTTTTCAAAAATTCAATAGTATTTCTCACAAAATATATCACATGAATACAATATACAATACAATTTTTATAAATGGACAAGCATTTAATTGCTATATTGATATGTCTCTTAAAGAGTTATTACATTATCTAGAACTTGAATTAGATTCAATTGTTGTAGAACATAATAATCATATTATCCACTTTATAGAATTTGATAAAACTTTCTTTAAACCACAAGATAAAATAGAAATTATTACAATTGTTGGAGGAGGTTAAATAAGTTCTCTTCTAGAGACAGACAATCTAGCTTGCTTCATATCAACATGAATAATTTTAACTTTGATTTTATTTCCGATTTGAAATGTATGATTTATATTTTTTATATACTTATGGCCTATTTCTGATATATGCATTAATGCGGGTATACCATAAATAGTGATAAAAATACCATATTGCTTGATTTGAGTAATTTGACCATAAACAAATTTACCTACTTTTAATAAGTCAGAATAAAGATCAAGCAAAGCTAGTTTATGGCTTAATATAATTTTGTTATTTTTTTCGTCAGCTAATAAGAGTTTACATGGTAAATGATATTTTGTCATAAATTCATAGTGAGTAAATTTAATTAAATGAGATTTAGGTATAAAACTTTGCAAACCTTCTAAAATAGTTAAAATTCCTCCTTTATTAACATTACGTATAGACACATCTAAAATAATGTCTTCTGATTCGAGCTGTTTAATACGTTTCCAAGCTCTTATATAATCTAGCCTTTTAATAGATAATAATAACTTTTGCTTGTCCTTACTATAAGCCACAATAAAAAATTCTCTTGTATTATTAACAAGGTATTTAAAATCATATCTAATATTGCAAGAACTTAATAAAATTTCATCTATTGGTAAATAACCTGCTATGCTTACTCCGACATCTACTAAAAAACCTTGTGACTCCTGATGAAAAATAGTACCAGCTATAATATCACCTGGATGCAAACTGTATTTATATTGATTTAATATAGATCCGAAATCGTTTTCTGAAAAACCTGTTAAACGTATCTTGTTCATTTTGATTGCTATGAATTAAGTCACTAAGATGTAATTGTATTTTTTTTAAAAAATATGTATTATATATACACAAGTAAACATAGGTAGTTGCAAATTTTAAAACAAATTTGAGGAAAGTCCGGGCTCCAATTAGCATATAGTATAGCTGTATAAAAAACAGTATAGGTGACTATAAGGAAAGTGCCACAGAAAAAAACCGCCTAATTTACTATAATATAGAATATAGGTAAGGGTGCAAAGGTACAGTAAGAGCGTACCAGAAGTGTGATAAAAATACTTGCTAGGCAAACCCCATATAAGAGCAAAGTAATAAACTTGACATTAACAATATCTATCATGCAAGAATTACTTGTAATTTACGGTTTATACTCAGTACTGCAATAAGTTTATATGTAAATATAAAAAAAAGATTAATAACTACCCTTAATAAATTTAATTTTCAGATAAAAATATATAAATCTTAAAATTATTAAGAACAAAATCCGGCTTATGATTTACTTTATAAATTTATATAAATTAACATGATCTATATTTACTTAGTAAAAACTCTATTTCTTTATCAATACGATTGATATCGTGGTAATTTAAAGTTCTGTCGTAAGCTCTATAAACAATCCGTAAACCAACATTATAATAATTAGTAGATTTATTTTTATAGTTATTAAATACTTCAACTGATTCAATTAAAGAGTTATCAAAGCTCAATATTTGCTGCTTAACTGAATATATACTATGAAGTTTATTCAAAGTTAACGATATATCCCTAGTTAAGCTAGGATAACAAGAATAAGGATAAACAATAGAATTAATATGATTCAAAGATGTAATAGAAGCTATTAACTTAATTAAATCAAATTCAAATATATACGTGGAAATTCCATAGCAGTTACGCAATTGACCAAATATACCTATTTCTTGATTAGTGATACTATAAATAATTGCTGTACGATTAGTTTTCAGTAATCTTGTTAAGTTAAAAAATGAAGAACTTTCATTTAAATCATTTATTTGTTTCCATACTGTTACAACTCGTAATCTATCTAAAAGTTCTTCCATTATACCTTTAGTGTGAAACCAACCTAGCGACTCTGGCTTATGTGACCACGATCTTCTCAAAAAAGAAGTATTTGTAATTAAACCAGAAAGAGATAAGCACTCAAAAGAACTCAAAATATAATCAGATCTTATACTTAATTTATTCAACTTAAAGATCTTTCCTATTTCAAAAATTTCAACATTCTTATTGCCTTGTTTAAGATTATCTTGCTGATTTATAATCAACTGATCTATTAAATTACTTCTTAGAAAAGACTGCTCTTGACCTAAAGGATTAAAAACTTTAACTTCTGTTTTACTATTAGAAATTAAATTATCATGAAAAGAATAATTTTGAACTTCATGTAAACCTAAATGACGTAATAAACAACGAATTTGACTTATTTTATTTACAAGCGTATTATGAACAGACAAATTATTATTATTCATAACAGGCAATCTGCTAATAAACTTATTAAAACCATAAATTCGCCCTATTTCTTCAATTATATCTATAGGCCTTTTGATATCTTCTTGTCTGTTAATAGGTACTTGTATCTTAAATATCTTCTTTGACTCATCATATATTGTAATAAAATTCAAACTCTCTAATAGATGAATAGTCTCTTGTGTAGTTAGGTAACCAGATAAGTTACTTCTAGCAAGACCTAAAACATTATGTATCATACTTGCATCTAAAAATATAATTTCAGGTATGTAATGTAATTTATGACACCCGTAAAACTTACCTAAAGTACCATATCCAAATGATTTAATTAACTGAATTGTTTCGTATAATGCATTGACAAAATCAGATCTCAAGCCTTGATTCAGACATTTTTTTGATAAATCTGTATTAAGATTTAAAAGTTTTTGCATACTTTTAATATATTGTTTATTACATACTTGACCAAAAATAATTATAGAATTTGTTAATAAATCACACTGAATACTAGGATTTATATAAAAACCAATAGTAGACAATATGAGACTATCATATTTTAAAACCTCCAATTCAATATTTTGCGAACTCAGCAAATTATTATTGGTTTTGTGCAAACCAAATAAAGAATAATTCAGTTGTAAGGAACGAATTTTTTTTTTATCAAATATATGTATTAACTGCCCCCACTTTAAATATATATATTCAGAAATATCAATTAATAAATTTAATGGTTTGATATTATAGCTTATTAAATAGTATTGAAGCCATAAAGGTGATAAAGTATTATTTAAACGATAAATCTGAACTAAAGACAAGTCTAATAACGAAATATTCTTCTCTGACAAATTAAACCCATTAATATGGGTAGTAATAGAATCTTTATACAATTTATACATTAAAGGTCTATTCAATAGAGAACTAATCTCTCTAGCTAAACCTACTACACTCAATACATCTTGTCTATTAGCAGTTGTAGTTAAATCGAAAACTATATCATTAACATATGGATCGCGGATAATATTATCTACTTCAAAACCTGATAAATTTAATTTATCTGCAAGAAAACTAAATTTTATACCATTTAAATCTACAATTTGTTGAAGCCATCTTAAAGAAAATTTCATATATAAAAATATTGAATACGATAAACATTCATAATTTAATATTAATATTACCAATATATCATTTCAAAAATGCAAATTAGTTCTACTTAGCTTTGGTAAAAGAAAGCTTATTTTTATTAGCATACTTTTCCATAAAACGCATAAAACGATCCCATTCTTGTGGACTTTTTATTATATATATAGCCTCTATAGCTTGCGGCTTACCATTAATAAATTTAGCACTCACATCTCTAGTCATCAGTTCGCCTTCATCATCTTTTAAATACATACCGGTAATATCACCTTTATCCTCCATACCTGACTTCAAAATATCAGGATTGTTGAATCTAAAAGTTGCTGTACCTTTACTACCATCTCTAGAGCGTGTTAAAGAAACATCAGCAATAACAGTTTCATTAACTCCTTTAATAAACTGAATAACAGCCATAACAATTTTCCTTAATTAAAAAATATAAACAATTATATAAACTCAATATCAAAATATTATATAGATTTAGTAATTATTATAAATGATAACAAAGTTCTACCCAACGCATCTAATTGTAAGTAATAATCAATATAAATTAAATAATTTTTAATACACATTTATAACATATATTAAAAATTTTTCCATACAACTATTAAGTTCTATTTTCAAGTGTGTTATTATTATTTAGTATCAAAGGTAATATATATTCATTTGCTTTAATTAAATGTTTGAAAGATTTACAGAAAAAGCAATAAAAGTTATTATGCTTGCTCAAGAAGAGGCAAGACGCTTAGGCCATAACTTTGTTGGTACAGAACAAATTTTATTAGGCTTAATAGGTGAAGGCACAGGTATTGCTGCACAGGTATTAAAATCTATGAATGTAAATTTAAAAGATGCACGCATAGAAGTAGAAAAAATTATTGGTAGAGGGTCAGGATTTGTAGCAGTTGAGATACCTTTTACACCAAGAGCTAAAAGAGTTTTAGAACTTTCTTTAGAAGAAGCGAGACAACTTGGACATAATTATATAGGTACAGAACACTTATTAATGGGTTTAGTACGTGAAGGTGAAGGTGTAGCTGCAAGAGTACTAGAAAATCTAGCCGTTAACGTAGCATCTATTAGAACAGAAGTCATTCAAATGTTGGGTGATAATACGGAAGCTAACACAAACGGAAATAATAATACACAAACAAGAAGCAAAACTCCTACGTTAGAAGAATTTGGATCAAACCTAACAGAATTAGCAATAGAAGGTATATTAGATCCAGTAGTTGGGCGACAAAAAGAGATTGAACGAGTAATACAAATATTAGGAAGAAGAACCAAAAATAACCCTGTACTAATTGGAGAACCAGGAGTAGGCAAAACAGCTATAGCAGAAGGTTTAGCACAAAGAATTGCAAACAAAGATATCCCTTCTATATTAGAAGATAAGCTAGTAGTTACACTAGACGTAGGTCTATTAGTTGCTGGAACAAAATATAGAGGAGAATTCGAAGAAAGGCTTAAAAGAATTATGGATGAAATAAAATCAGCTAATAATATTATACTGGTTATTGATGAAGTACATACTTTAATTGGAGCTGGAGCAGCTGAAGGAGCTATCGATGCAGCAAATTTACTGAAACCAGCATTAGCCAGAGGAGAGCTACAATGCATAGGCGCAACAACACTAGAAGAATATCGTAAGCACATAGAAAAAGATGCAGCGCTTGAAAGACGATTTCAGCCTGTGTTAGTTGGAGAACCAAGTGTAGAAGAAACTATTGAGATTTTATTTGGTTTAAGAGATAGATACGAAAAACACCACCAATTAAAAATGTCTGATGCTGCTTTAGCTGCTGCTGCTAAATATGCTAATCAGTATATTTCGGATCGTTTTTTACCTGACAAAGCTATCGATTTAATTGATGAAGCTGGTTCAAGAGTTAGATTATTGAACTCTCAGCTACCTCCAGCTGCTAGAGAATTAGATAAAGAACTAAGAAATGTGCTAAAAACAAAAGATGAAGCAATAAGGGCACAAAAATATGAAAAAGCAGAACAATATAGAACAAGAGAAATGGAAATTAAAGCTCAAATTGCAGCTATTGCACAAAGCAAAAAAAATGAACCTGATTTGAAAATTGAAGATCCTGTAGTAACAGAAGATGATATTGCAGAAATAGTTGCATTTTGGACAGGCATCCCAGTAACGAAATTAACAAAAAGTGAGTCAGAAAAATTAATGCATATGGAAGAAACTCTTCATAGTCGCATTATTGGACAAGATGAAGCTGTAGTAGCTGTTTCTCGAGCAATAAGAAGAGCAAGAGTTGGCTTAAAAAATCCCAATCGACCTATTGCAAGCTTCATATTCTCTGGTCCTACAGGAGTTGGAAAGACTGAATTAACTAAAGCACTAGCTTCTTATTTCTTTGGCTCACAAGAAGCAATGGTTAGATTAGATATGTCTGAGTATATGGAAAGACATACTGTTTCAAAATTAATTGGTTCGCCACCCGGTTACGTAGGCTATAGTGAAGGTGGGTACTTAACAGAAGCTGTTAGAAAGCGTCCTTACACGGTAATTTTATTTGATGAAATCGAAAAAGCTCATCCGGATATTTTTAACCTTTTACTACAAATTTTAGAAGATGGTAGACTGACTGATGCTAAAGGCAGAACAATAGACTTTAAAAATACTTTACTAATCATGACATCTAATATAGGGTCAAAAGTTATAGAAAAAGGAGGAGGAAGTTTAGGATTTGAACTGGGAGAGTCACAAACAGAATCACAATATAATCGTATTAGATCATTAGTTAACGAAGAATTAAAGCAATATTTTCGTCCCGAATTCTTAAATAGATTAGATGAAATTATAGTCTTTAGACAACTAACTAAAGACGAAGTACGTGAAATAGCAGAAATTATGCTACAAGAAGTATTCGAACGCATCAAACAACAAAAAATAGAACTAGAAGTAACTGAAAGATTTAAAAATCGATTAGTAGATGAAGGATATAATCCTAGTTATGGAGCAAGACCACTACGTAGAGCAGTAATGAGATTACTAGAAGATAGTTTAGCAGAAGAAGTTTTATCAGGTAAAATTAAGGCTGGTGACAGTGCCGTTGTAGATGTGACTGATGACGGAAAAGTAACCGTATTACGAGGCGAGCAAATAGAAATGCTTCAACCTTAATTATAGCTTACAACAATTAATAATTGTTGTAAGCTATAATTAAGGTTAATGCCAGGAACCAGATTTGAACTGGTGACACGAGGATTTTCAGTCCACTGCTCTACCAACTGAGCTATCCCGGCCAGGAATAAACTTTTCGTATAGTACCATATCTTTATTGATATTGCAACAATAGTATTTATAATAAATTAATCGAACAGGATAATAAAAACTTATGAATTTACATCACAAAATTTATTGTTTTGGGGTGTAAATAATAACTTGCATAAACCAGTTGCACCATTGCGATTCTTACATAATGATACATCTATAATATTGGATAAACCTAGAGACCTATCAGCTTGTGATAATATAATCACTATATCTGCATCTTGCTCAATTGAATTATGCACAATCAAATCACTAAGGCATAAAATAGAATAACATGGCTCTTGAATATCAAAGACTTTAGAATAATCAAAGTAAATAACATATGGAATATAAATATATTCAAAAATAAATGAAGATAATCTAGAAAAATAATTTATAACACAAATGCTATTTTCTAAATAACAACTGAATTTAAGCCATATTATTTTTAAATACAATTTATGATTATATGTTAAACTCAATAAACGATTAATAAAACAGATACTAAAAGAATATTGTAAAGAAAAATTAAAATATAAAGTATCTAAAAACATATTAAATGAATAATTATTATTAGAATATTTAATTAAATTACCTCTTCTTAAAGTTATATAATTATATAAACTCTGTGCATGAAGATTATTAATGATATCTAAATTCAAACTGACATAGCTTACCAAACATCCACTTTCTCGAAGATCAGATAATAAAGGGAATTTATTAACTCTAGTTTCAATACTTCTGTTCAGTTGAGACAAAACAACTATCGGTACATTTAAATATTGTGCTAATAACTTTAATTTTCTTGTTATATAACCCAATTCTTGTGTTCTAATGTTATTATTAAAACCTTCTACTTGAACTAATTGTAAATAATCAATAATTACTAATTGTATAATTCCTGTTTCTTGATAAAGTAGTTTAGATGTATATTCAATATAGTCAATCGATATATTAGGTGTATCATTAATATAAACTTTATATTTCATCAATTTACGGCAAATTTGATTCAAATTATACCATTCATCTATTGTAAGTTTACTAAAAGAAATATTTTGAGTAGCAATGCCAGATGCAATAGCAATAAATTTACTAACTATTTGTATTTTTGACATCTCAAGACTAAAAAAACATAAACCCAATGAAGCAGAAGATAAAATATTAAACGCTAGATTAATTACAAAAGAAGTTTTACCTATTGAAGGACGACCAGCAATCACAACTAAGTCACCACCTTGTAAGCCCTGTATTAATTGATCTAATGCTTGAAAACCTGATAAAATCATATTTCGATTTATAGTCGGCTGAACCAAATTCAAATTCTGATATTTTAACTGTATAAGCAAATCACCAATTAAATCTTTAAAAGTCATTAAATTCTCTTTAGGGATTTTATGAACTGTAGATTCTAAATACTCAGATACCTTATTATATATTTGATGACAATGTAAATCGTGAATGTTAGCTAATTTAACAACATTATAACCATACTGAATTATCAAACGTCTTGTATAACTGTTATTAATCAGGATCATAAGTTCTTGTATATAAACATACATATTAATAGATGGCATAAAAATGTGACTTTGCCTCATCAACTCAATAATTTTTAAAACTCCACCTATATAATGCAATATTTGTGAATTGTTTAAAAAATAAAATAATTGTAAAATATCTATTTTCTTATCTTTATGAAGAGTAACTAAGCTGGTATAAATCAACTGGTGAGATTCTACAAAAAAAGAATCCGATTTAAGGAAAGGCATTAATTGAGGGAAAATAGTTGGATGAATCAATATAGTACCTAATAAAATTTCCTCAGCAATATAATTGTGAGGAAGAACAGGATCTAGGAGAATATTTTGCATAAACATCTAATAAATATTAAAAATAAGATAACGCCTAAATATATTTTGACTTATAGATTTAGTATTAAATAAAGAATAAGCTGAAGATGTAGATCTATTTAATAAATAATAATAAAATCTTATATGTACGATAGAAAAACCTAACCAATAATATAAACTTAAAGCTTTAAAATTACTTATCTGTACTTCAAGAAATATATCCAAATTATGTAATATAGCAATAAAAATTAATACCTTTAAAAAACGCTTAGAAGACACTAGAACATTGTAATTATTGATCACATAAAAATACATAAAATCTTTAGGTAAGATCTTATATGAGAAAAAAGAAAATATTAATACACAATCAAGCTGACAACTAAAAAAATAATAGTTATCAGAATTAATGTGAAGCTTTTGATAAAAATACATATAAATAGAAAATAACAATATTAAATTACAATGTTATGATACTATATTATTTATATATAAATTGAACGTTTATACAGAATAAAGCAATTAATATAAAAACTAATAATGTACATAAAACCTTACAAAAAAAATTCTATTATTAATGCAATAGAGAAAGACTTTAAAAAAGTTACAATACCTATTATCGATATAGGAGATAGCATACAAATGTCTATTCTCATTCAAGAAGGTAATAAACAGAGGATTCAAACTGTAGAAGGAGTGATAATATCCAAAAATAAATCACAATTAAATACAACTATTACTGTTAGAAAAACCTTACAAAATATTGGCGTCGAAAGAGTTTACCTTATACATTCTCCTTTAATAAAAAGTATCAAAGTAATGAGAAAAGCAAAAGTAAGGCGAGCTAAACTATACTACTTAAGATCGAGATCAGGTAAAGCCACAAGATTAAAAACAAGATTTAATTAACAATTTTTCTTATTATCATTCGTCGAAAATATGATAATATATATTTACAAAGCAAGGATGCATAGCTCAGTTGGTTAGAGTATCACGTTGACATCGTGAAAGTCACTGGTTCGAATCCAGTTGTATCCAGGAATATTATAATTACTTAGATACTTCCATGCTTTAATAATATTGTATAATTTATATGGGTCGGTGCCCGAGTGGTTAATGGGGGCGGACTGTAAATCCGCTGGTATTACCTACGTTGGTTCAAATCCAACCCGGCCCAATTAAAATGTTAGATATAAATCATAAATCAAGCCTTTATAACTCAATGGTAGAGTATTTCCTTGGTAAGGAAAAAGTTATGGGTTCAATTCCCATTAAAGGCTATCCAATTTCATCTTGGCTAAAGGTATATTTTTGTTCTTTGCTAACTTAGATATTCCTATCATTTGTGAATTACTTTTACCAGGTGCAACCATCGGGTAACAGTTCTCTTCTTCCTTGACTTTACAATTTAATAAACATGGACCATTATAATTTGCAAAACGATGCAAAACTTTATTCATGTCATGTCTGTGCTCTAAATTTAAACCTAGTATACCAAAAGACTTAGCTAATAGAACAAAATCAGGAGCACCTTTTTCCATATTAGAATGGGAATACCTCTCTCCATAAAAAGCCTGTTGCCACTGCCTAACCATACCTTGCCATTTATTATTTATAATAATAATTTTTATAGGTAAATTATACTGAGCAATTGTAGCAAGCTCTTGAAAATTCATTTGAAAACTAGCATCTCCACTAATACAGATAACACTCTCAGAAGGATAAGCAATCTGAACACCAATAGCAGCAGGAAGTCCATAGCCCATAGTTCCTAGACCAGAGCTGGACATCCAATGTCGTGGTAATACATTAACAAACTGAGCAGCCCACATTTGATGCTGACCTACATCAGTAGTAAAATAAGCATTAGGTTGAATACGGGATAAAGAAAAAATCACTTCTTGAGGAGATAAACTACTAACATGTTTTGGAATCAATAAAGGATACTGATTTTTCCACATAGCTATTCTATTCTTCCAAGAACAAGTTTGCTGAGAATTAAACAATAAATTTGAGTTGCGATCCAGATAATCTAAAATGCGGCTTATAACATCTTTAACATCACCCAAAACAGCAACCTGAGGAACACGATTTTTACCTATTTCTGCAGGATCAATATCAATATGTATAACTTTAGCGTTACACGCAAACTCATCTAACTTACCTGTGACTCTATCATCAAATCTAGCACCAAGAGCAATCAATAAATCACATTCACTAACAGCAAAATTAGCGTAGGCTGTACCATGCATACCTAACATACCTAAGCATAAACTGTCATTCTCATCAATAATTCCTTTACCCATCAATGTAGTACATATAGGGATCTGAAAACGATAAGAAAATTCTTTAATTACTTGATGAGAACCAGAAATAATAGAACCACCTCCTATGTAAAGTAAAGGCTGACTAGATTCATATAGAAGATTCAAAATTTTAACGATTTGGCTGTCCTTAGGTTTTACAATTGGACGACAACCTACCAATTTAACATTACTTGGATTAAGAGGTTGATAAAGAAATTTCTCTAAACCGACATCTTTAGGAACATCAATTAAAACAGGTCCTGGTCTTCCATATTGAGCAATGTAAAAAGCTTCAGAAACTATTCTAGACATGTCCAAAGGATCTCTAACTACATAAGAATGTTTAACTATAGGCAAAGTAATCCCAAAGATATCAACTTCTTGAAAAGCATCTGTACCTATAAAAGGTCTAGCTACTTGACCAGTTATTAAAACTAAAGGTACAGAATCTAACTGTGCCGTAGCAATACCAGAAACGAGGTTAGTAGCTCCTGGACCAGATGTTGCAAAGCATACACCAACTTTTCCTGTTGATCTAGCATAACCATCAGCAGCATGAGATGCACCTTGTTCATGACGACATAATATATGTGTAATTAAACCCTTACTCTCCCATCTGTATAATTCATCATAAATAGGTAAAATAGCACCACCAGGATAGCCAAAAACATGACTTACATTATTACTCACTAAACTATCTATGAGAGCAAAAGCACCTGTGACTTCCCTTAAATCAGAATCATAATTTATATTCATGGATTTCTTAAAATATTTTATATTTAACATATTAGTATGTACTAATTGAATTTTAATCAGAAGATTTTTTGTATTACTAATATTTACTTTTTTTACTTAATTGTATATATAATATTATATATGTCGAATTTTTTATTATAGATCTTAAAAATTTTATATGCGGATTTTTTATCTTATACCTAACATCTGCCTTAAAATGATCGTTATAGTGCTAATAAATACTATTATTATAATGCTTATTGTTAGCCTTTTATTTTTCTCTTTTAATAACTCAAAAATTGTGTAAAAAGTTGTCAAGAAAAATCCCATAATTACTGAGAATAAAAATCTCGGAAATTTATTTATGTTGTTCAAAAATTTTGTCATATATTAGTATTTTTGTGTTTATATATTGTTTTAAATTAAGATAAGTGAATAATCTTACTTTTGTAAACTTGTTTTGGTAATTTTATTTCTTTTAGATTTGATTAACAGGAGAAAAAATGGTGAATAACTTTGAAGATATACAGATATTAAGTGATCTTTTACCTTTTATACAACGTTTTTATGGATCTACTATAGTTATTAAATATGGCGGCTCTGCTATGAAAGATGTTTATTTAAAATCTAAAATTGTACAAGATATTTTGTTTTTGTCTTATATAGGTATTAAAGTTGTTATTGTACATGGTGGTGGACCAATGATTAATTATTGGTTGAAACAAATGAATATAGAACCTAAGTTTTTTAATGGTATTCGTGTTACAGATAAAATAACTATGGAGTTGGTAGAGATGGTTCTAGTAGGTAAAGTGAATAAAGATTTGGTTGGTTTATTTAATCGTTTATCTAATGTAGCAGTTGGTTTATCTGGTAAGGATGCTAATTTAATTATTGCATCTAGTTTTTTTAGTGATCAGCCAGATAATTATACAGGTAAAGTAAAAAAAGTTAATCTTGATATTATTAATTTTTTACTTTCTAAAGGATATATTCCTGTTATTGCTAGTGTTGCTTCAGATTTAAATGGGCAATCTTATAATATTAATGCTGATTCTGTAGCTGGCGCGATTGCAGAGTGCTTGAATGCTGAGAAGCTTATTTTGTTAACTGATATACCAGGTATTATGTCTAATATTAATAATCCTGCAACTCTAATAAAACATTTGAATATAGAAAAGTTGGAGAGTTTGAAAAATCAACAAGTAATTGCCGGAGGCATGATACCTAAAGTTGATTGTTGTATTCAAGCTTTGAAGAATAATGTTGTTTCGGCTCATATTATCAATGGTAATATAAAGCATGCTTTATTGTTAGAAATTTTGACATCAAATGGTACAGGTTCAAAATTAGTAGCGTAAGTTGTTTAATTAATTCAGTATTTGTTTATTTGTTTTTATTTTTATGTTATACTTAACACAAATTATAAAGGCTCAGTAGCTCAGCTGGTTAGAGCAGGGGACTCATAAGCCCAAGGTCGCAGGTTCAAGTCCCGCCTGAGCCATTAAATTTCTTTTTATATTTCATCTTTTATTTATTAATGTAATGGAGAGGTGGCTGAGTGGTTGAAAGCGCCAGATTGCTAATCTGTTGTATGTTTAAATCATACCGAGGGTTCGAATCCCTTCCTCTCCTTTTTATTATTTACTAAGCTGTTTTTATATGTTTGACAACTACTTGATTAATATGAGATGATGTAATGTATAAACTGGGATTGTAGTTCAATTGGTTAGAGCACCGCCCTGTCACGGCGGAAGTTGCGGGTTCGAGTCCCGTCAATCTCGTTCTACTGATGTAATTTTTTATGCTATATATACTTCTTTCTCTGGTACTGGTGTATATTCATTTATGATTTTCTTAAATTCTTTTCCATCAATAGTTTCTCTTTCGATTAGTAAGTCTACTAATCTATCAATAATAATTCTATTGTCTTGAATAATTTTGATTGTTTCTTGATAGCATTTTTCTACTATATGATAGATTTGTTTGTCAATTTTAATTGCAACTTCATCAGAATAATCTGACGCACTACCCATACTTCTTCCTAAAAACGGGTTTGCTTCTTCATTTTCTAAGCATAATGGACCTATATTTGACATTCCAAATCGTGTAACCATTTGACGAGCCATAGATGTTACTTGTTGTAAATCATTGCTAGCGCCAGTAGTGATTTCTGTATCTCCGAATACAACTTCTTCTGCAGCTCTACCACCTAAAGCTCCCATGATGCGTGATAAAATTTGAGATCTTGATATTAAATTTTGGTCTTCTCCTGGTGTAAACCAAGTTAATCCTTTAGCTTGACCGCGAGGTATTAAGGTTACTTTTTGTACTGGATCGTGATCTTTTAGAAGTGTTCCAACTATTGCATGTCCAATCTCATGGTATGCAATTAAGCGTTTACTTTTGCTATCAGTTAATGCTGTTCCTTCCATACCTGCTACTATGCGATCTATAGAAGCGTCTATTTCATTTAATGTAATGTATTTTTTTCTTCGTCTAGCTGTTAGTATTGCTCCTTCATTTAGTAAATTTGCTAAGTCTGCTCCTGAAAAGCCAGGGGTTCTTCTAGCTATTATGGATAAAGATATACTTTTGTCCATCTTTTTATTTTTAGCATGCACTTTTAATATATCTAGTCTGCCTTTAAAGTCTGGTATTTCTACAGATACTTGCCGATCAAAGCGGCCTGGCCTTAATAAAGCAGAGTCAAGTATATCAGCTCGGTTTGTTGCTGCAATTACTATAACTCCTGTGTTTCCTTCAAAACCATCCATTTCGGTTAGTAGTTGATTTAATGTTTGTTCTCTTTCATCATTACCACCACCAATACCTGTTCCTCTCTGTCTACCTACAGCATCTATTTCATCTATAAACACAATACATGGAGCATTCTCTTTTGCTTTTTTAAATAGATCTCTCACGCGTGAAGCTCCTACGCCAACAAACATTTCTACAAATTCAGATCCTGAAATACTGAAAAAAGGTACATTAGCTTCACCTGCAATGGCTTTGGCTAATAATGTTTTGCCTGTACCAGGGGGGCCTATTAATAAAACACCTTTAGGTATTTTGGCTCCTACAGCTGTAAATCTCTCTGGTTTTTTTAAGAATGTAACAACTTCTTCAAATTCTTCTTTAGCTTCGTCAATTCCTGCAACATCGCTAAAGACTATACCTGTTTTAGCTTCCATTTGGAATAAAGCTTTAGATTTGCTAAATGACATTGCTTGTCCTGGTCCACCAGGAGCGTTATTAGAACGACGAAAGAGGAATGCTAAGCCTAATATTAATAATATAGGAAATAATAAATTACCTATTAAATTCCAGATTGCACTGGTATTTTTAGTTGCATGTGCATCTAAATCTATATTAGCTTTTTTAAGTTTTATAATCAATTCCGGTACTGTTGCTGGTAGTTCAACTCTAATTTTTTGAAGTCTATTACCTAATTCAGGTCCTACTGCTTCTACTATTGCTGTATGTCCATTATCATATAGATCAACTTTCTTTATCCAACCCATATCTAAATATTCTAAAAAGCGCCCATACGTCATTCGAGAACGTGCTATGTTTGTATTTAACTCACTTGTCGTGGGAGCTAAAAATCCTTGCCATAAAAAGAATCCAATTACAATTATTGGTAATGATAATAATAATAAAGTTTTCCAAGATAATTTCATTATTTTAAGCCTTTTAGTAATTATGTTTAAATGAATTTAACATCTTTAATATTTTTTAGGCAACTATATGATATGAAAATATGTTTTGCTTGTTTATATAAGTTAATTTTTTGAATTTTATTTAGTTATATAATAGTATTATATATTGAATTACTAACATTATTGTTTTATGATAAAGAAAGGATCAGTAGTTAAAATTTTGCGCAAAGAGTCTTATTGGTATCAAGATATAGGTACTGTTGTTAAGATCGAAAAAGATATCAAATATTCAGTTCTTGTACGTTTTATGAGAGAAACTTATAGTGGTGTTAATAGTAATAATTTTTCTGAAAGTGAATTATCATTAGTTGAGTCTTAGTGTATATAAAATTATATAGTTATATTAAGTAAAAGATAAAAGCAATTGGCCTTTATCTTAATTTAAAGATTTACCGTTTGTACAAAAGTTTTGTTTAACTTCCTAATGCTGCCCAATCTACATCTACATTCTCTAAAATTAAAGATGAGTTATATATTTGTAAAATTATTAATAAAAATAAAAAGAATAAGAGCATAAATACTCCCATAATTGGAGTTGTACCCCAGCCTGGAGCAACTTTGCCATATTCAGAATTTAAAGGTCTCAATATTTCTCCTAATCTTGTTCTTAGTGCCATATTTTTTTAACTTAATTTGTATATTTTATAATTTTTGTCTTTATAATTATAGTATTAATATTATAATTATAAAAATTACTTAACTGAATCTATATTACCTCTATGGAAACTACAACAGTTCTTAGTATTTTTATTTCTAGTCTATTATTAGGAATAACAATGTATTCTATATATACTTCTTTCGGTCCTATATCTAAGGAGCTTCGAGATCCTTTTGAAGAACATGAAGAGTAAATAATATAAACCTAAATCATATAAATGATTTGAAGTGCTTTTATTATTTCTCGACTAATAGCTACTTATTTCATTATGTAAATAAGTAGCTATTAGTCGAGAATAGATATAGTTCAGTCTTTCATTATTTAATTTATATTTATTTAGCTATTCTTGGAGGGTCTCTAAAGAATACAGCAAAGAAGATAACCATTAATGTTCCGACTAATAGAAAGACATATACTAATGCTTCCATATTTATTTCCTTATATAAGTAAATATGTTATAAATATATGTGGTTTATACAGCACCTTGTTTTTTACTGCTTCTATCTCCTAATTTTTGGAATGCGCCAAATTCTACTTGTTCTGTCACTTCTGCGCCGATGCCAGCGAATACATCTCTGAATATAGTCCTTGATCCATGCCATAAGTGGCCGAAGAAAAAATAAGTGCGAAGTTTGCGTGTCCAAAAGTAAACCATCCTCTAGGACTACTTCTGAATACACCATCTGATTCTAATGTAGTTCGATCAAATTCGAAGACTTCTCCTAATTGAGCTTTACGTGCGTATTTTTTTACACTAGGAGCATCAGTAAATAACTTCCCATTGAGTTTACCTCCATAAAAACTTGCAGTTACACCCACTTGTTCAATACTGTATTTTGATTCAGCTCTTCTAAATGGTATATCTGCACGTATAATTCCATCTTTATCCACCAGTATTACTGGAAAAGTTTCAAAAAATGCGGGCATTCTTCTAACAGTTAATTCTCTTCCATCTTTATCTTGAAATATAGGATGTCCAAGCCACGCTTCTGCTATGCCATCTCCTTTATCCATAGGTCCTGCTCTGAATAAGCCACCTTTTGCAGGATTGTTGCCTATATAATCATAAAATGCTAATTTATCTGGTATTTTAGACCATGCTTCTTCAGGTGTTGAACCTTCATTAAGTGAGTTTTCTACCCTTCTTTCAATTTCTTGTTGAAAATATCCGCTATCCCACTGGTATCTTGTTGGTCCAAAAAGTTCTATAGGCGTTGTTGCTGAACCGTACCACATAGTTCCACAAGCTACGAAAGCACTAAAAAAAACAGCTGATATACTACTTGATAATACCGTTTCTATGTTACCCATTCTTAGTGCTCTATATAGGCGCTGTGGCGGTCTAACAGTGAGATGGAATAAACCAGCTAGTATTCCTACAGTCCCTGCTGCTATATGGTGTGATGCTACTCCACCTGGGTTGAATGGATTGAAGCCATCTGGCCCCCAAGCTGGAGCAACAGGTTGTACCTTCCCTGTGATTCCATATCCATCAGATATCCATATTCCTGGTCCGAATAATCCTGTTGTGTGAAAAGCACCAAAACCAAAGCATAGCAGACTAGATAACAGTAGATGAATACCGAATATCTTAGGCAAGTCTAATGCAGGTTCACCTGTTCTTGGGTCTCTAAATAATTCTAAATCCCAGTAAACCCAGTGCCATATAGATGCTAAAAATAACATGCCTGATAAAACTATATGAGTAATAGCGACACCTTCAAAACTCCATAATCCGGGATTAGAAACACTTTCTCCTGTAATACTCCATCCACCCCATGAATCAGTTACTCCAAGTCTTGCCATAAAAGGCATTACGAACATTCCTTGTCTCCACATTGGGTTTAAGACTGGATCAGATGGATCGAAAACAGCTAACTCATATAGAGCCATAGAACCAGCCCATCCTGCTACTAAAGCGGTATGCATTAAATGAACAGATATTAAGCGTCCTGGATCATTTAATACAACTGTATGTACACGATACCATGGTAGTCCCATTGAACTACTATCCTCCTAGTTAAGAGATATAAAATTGTTGCTTTTCTTACTATTTGATATATACTAACTACATAGTAATTTATTATAACATTCTTCAGATCAATTAATGATTTTTTACTCGCATTTGTACAGAATAATATTTTTGACTAAATAGAAACATACAAAAGTTACAAGCATTAAAAACCAAATACTATTCTGTATATTTAAACTTAACCATACTGTTTTGATAATATAATTTTCGTAGTTTATGTAGG